AGCTAATAATTGGTTTTCACACACCACCCTGCTGCCTTGCGGGTCAGGCTTTGGCTAGCCGAAGGCTCCGGTTGTGGATTCCTCAAGAAAATTCTCCTGCCTGAACCTGAGCAACCTGGCAGTATTCGGCCCGCATACAAATCATGGGACACTTTTCCTTTATAAAGATAATTGTACCATGATTTGCACAGTCTAGATTCAGACGTGCGTGAAATATAATATAAGCTATGGAATTCGGTTGTAAAACGAATATAAACTTCACCGAGTTCATGTCTTCATACTTCTTGAACCTATTTGTTTATCAATATCAACTTTGGCGAATGATTAAACACGGTGCTTCTAATCCCTGATTTATATTACTAGCAGTGATAACCCTAATCGTTGTCATTCTATCACCTCATAATGAATCTAATGCCCCAGAGTGCACTCGTCTTTCACTTGCTATTATCTCAACTTGTGACCTCGGTGGATCCAAATCCTCATCCATCTACGAGTTTTCTCGTTCAGTTTTGGGCGGAAGAGCAATATTGGTTGTTTTTCGATAAATCTCCGGTTCGTTGCTCATACTCCCATATGTTCACAATGCTACACCTAGTATCCGTTGGCTACTCCACAAACTGAACCAGTCGCTTCATTCGCATCCCTTCCTTTGCTGTCTATCACATTCCCCATCCTGATCCCATTCACAGACCACGAGCGAATCAGATGAGGAAACCAAATTCCTACTGCTCGGACGTGAGATCCACAAAGATCCGGACGAGGAACTCTCAGTCGCATCGACCACAACAGCAGCAGCAACAACAACAGCAACAGTCAATCATACTCCCGTCAATAGTCCCCAATCAAAACGTTCACCGGGCAAAGCGAACTTGACCGATTCCAAATCCCCAAGCCCAAAGAAACGGCGATTCAGTGTCTCACGAACATAACAGGTACTCCTTTCTGCATCAACCCACATCTGGGTCAGACCCTGTGTCCGATTTGACCAATAAAACGGGCGCGTATGCCAGTCAGAAATACAGCTATTCTCTAAAAACATTTTCAAGTCTCGTCTCAAGCTCTTCTGTCGTCTCCAAAAAACATCTGATCACCAGTTTGTTTCTACGACACGCCAGGATACGGTTACTTGTTCGCGTCCTTTTTATTCGACTGTCTAGGACGCGGCCGTGGTGGTGACGCAGTGGTTTAGTCGCTGTCCCTGGCGTGATTCGAACCCTGTGGCCCGAGGTTTGAACCCCATAACCGCCACCCAACTTTGGTGGTGGGTAGCTTTCCTGTCGTCCGGTTCAACACCACGCCTAACCTAGCGGTATCTTAAGTAGTACACCATTCCAAGTCCCGGGGATTAAGTTGCCGGTTTCCACCGCTGACAAGCAGGTGTCATTACAATGGGGCCCACCCCGTCTGCCGTTTATCATACAGTTGTGTAATAAAAAAGAAATAAAGAAGAGCAGGCACTAAGGTTGGCTTAGTCTCACGATGCAAACTCGACCAGGTATGGTAATCAGCGAAAGCAGATTTTCCAACGTTTACGGTTATCGTACGATCAAATTAGTCAAAGGTAATATGGGGAACAGCATGATGGCAGGATTGTACATACACAACACGGGAGGGGGTAGAGAAACTGTCATCAGATATGAGCATAACATTTTAGGCAGGGGGGGGGTTGATAAGCAGTGAATGAATATCCAAGTGGAATGTTGATTAAGATGTACCCTTAACATGCGATAGAAGTTTCAGTTTTTACAACCATTAACTGGGCACTTTCGTGCGCCAGTTCGGATCGCTTTCTTCTAGCTGCCTATTTAGATGAGTCAGTAGGAGGAACACAGGAGCGAGTCGCGGAGAAAATGGAGAATTTCAGTGGACTAAGGTTGCAAAGAAATCGAAATGCACGAACGCCGGTATTTACGACACTCATTCATATTACTCAGTTCCTCTAACCCGCGGTAACGATCATCCCGAAGTCCCCAGCCAGGGAGCCTAACGGGAACTGTATGAGCGAGTCTCATGGTTAGAGTTTCCATACCCTCGTGACAGGTCTTAGTTTGAACACCCTTGGCTTTATTCCACCCATTGTCTGCCCCGACAATCATCGCTCGCCGTGGCAACCTATTTGGTTACGTGTGTGACACATTTCCCAAACAATTTAATCTGTGGAGGTCGACCACTTGTTCCAGTCGGCACCCGCGGTTACCTAAAACTCCGCGTCTAACCTTAGCATTGCTTGTCCGGTTGCCCCATTGGATTCGTGTATTTCTGCGGTAGACAAGCAGTCAACGAAAGACCAGTGGCCTGAGGATTGAGAGATGTGCATGGCACAAAGGGAGTGGTGCCTGGGAAATTACACCAAACGGTTGCCCTAGGCCTGGTAAACGTTATGCGCAAAGGAGTTGGAATCAGCAGTTAGGCGTGCAAACACCAGGCAACTACTCCAACTCATCCGCATTACTGGCCCCGAACGATCGTGTATTAGTGAAACAATTTCCAAGCCTTCCGCGCCGTCTGCCCCAAGAAGTTCTCTTTTGTGTGTTGTAAACAGTGGGAGAATGAACCTGTATCCCGTACATGGTAAGACTTGGTTGTTACGCTTACTTACGAGAAGTGCTTACGAAATATTTGTTCCAACCACAGGGGTTTAATTTGGATTGTCCATTTTCTTTACACAGCCCGAATCCCATTACTCACTTACTTTACTACGGCTGGCTCCTTGGAAAGGATAAACCGGCTCCATGATTGTCTCTGTTGGCCGCTACCCATGCTTGGCGGTTGGCTGCAAGATTCTTGCAAATGTTGATCCAGTTTGTTTTTCATTGGCGAGTGCCGTACACCATTCGAAGGCCAAGTTGGTCGACGTCTTCGAATACAGTGTCTCCGGCCAGGTTTTTACTTGATCCTCCCCCCGCCCCCCCAGGACATGGTGTCAGAGCCAAAACAATACTCGTAAAAGTGTCGTCGGGTCTGCGGAGAACACGGCTCAGTCATTACAGTCGGTGGCGTTGTATGTGCGTTGAGAGACGGGCAACGTGGCATCGATTTCTGAGGTCCAAGTTTGAGACCCTGTCACGCCAGTTTACTTTCAGGATGAATCGAAGACACCAGTGATCGATTCGTGTTAAACGAAGAGCAGGCCAGGTTTTTGGCAAGCTGCGGGTACATTAATCAAATCTTCACCCTTCACCAGCTGATGGAACTCCGCGCAAAATATAGGGGACAAATTACTGTCCTGCTTTTGAACATCAGAGCGGCCTTTGACTCCGTCGATCGCCCCAATATGGAGTACCCTAGAATGATGTTTTGGTTCTAAAAGCACTTTACCTCCAGATCTTGAGGCACGTCAAGGTCTATGGTGAACTCTATGTCGCCCGAAGATACGACAGGATTACACTGTCTCTTCAACTTTGCCGTAAATGGCGTCCTAAAAAAAGCGTTTCGTAACGTAAGGAACGTTGCTGTTAGGCTTCTACCTAATGACAGAGTGGTAGACTAAGAGCATGCCGATCTGTAATGAGTGGTGTTAAATAGTAATAGTACGCCGGTTAAAAACGTATTGAGTCGCTTGGTAATTGTGGCTGCTCGTCATGGTATTTTTTTGCACCCTCAACGTGTGACGTGCTACTGCAAGATCTACAGAAACCTGTTCCTGCACTTAGTTGGGTCACGACAACCTGGAGGTCCTTGGAGCTTTGTTTACCTTGGGAGTTTCGTAATGGCTGGCGGAGGCGGAGGTGAGGGGATTTCTCAGCTCGTAATTAAGGTGAGATTGGCGATATATCCCTTTCATGGACATGTGCATAGCCAAACGATATGTGTCGTGTATTGTTCTATGGTTGCAGAATTCGCCCTTTCCGAGTAGATCATGTCTACAACCGTTGTCTAGGCAACATCTGCTTCATCATGCGTTATTTGGAGACATTTGACCAAACTGGAAGCAACAGTGATGGGGGGAGACAAGCTGTGACGTGGTGTAGACGGTTAAAGAATTTGTTCCGATCTGGCTCCAGTTTCAACTTGGGGGCACCGTAACGTGGCTTAGACGCGACTAAGAAGTGTCATGGAAGTGAACGCGATTAGTAGACCAACTGAAGATGGCGGTACATGTGGACCCGGTCCCCTACGATCACACGCGTCTATGCAACACAGTACACGCTGAGCCGTGGACTCGCCGATGTATGTTATTTGATCTTGAGGGAAATGAGCTTCTACTCATTGTTGTATGTGATTTGTCGTTTGTATCTGATCATTGTCGGAGCTGTGTCTGCATAAAAATGGAACAGTTTAGGGAGTTATCGAAGCAAGAAGAACAAGCATTCCCTATGACCAGGAGAACAAAACTTGACACCACCCGTTCACGTGGATTTAACGAACCCAGAGAGAAGTGGTTCATTGTTGCTCACTGTACTCTCTCTCTCTCTCTCGGAAGTCCTATGTTCGTTTCAATAGCACCTAATCATCCCAATGGCTTTTTGTTTTCTTGGGATCTGCGGTTGACTCCTTTCCCCTTCCGGATAATCGATCGTGTGGTAGTGCATCAGATAAGAACAAAAATGAAATATTCCAGGGTAAAAAAACGAACAGAGAAATCAGTCTAGTTAACTTTGATTCTCACAGCAATCAGATCGAACTAACTGAATGTTTTCCAGTAAAGTGGTCTGACACTGTAGTTGACAGTGCCCTCTTGGCGCTTCCTCTCAAATGCACTTTCGATTAAAATTCGCGTATTATTTTAGACTGAAATGAGCATATTGTTTTTCCCCTCTGGATTGTTTATTTGATGTAACGCATTTAGAAACAACCAATACGATATGTTCCAGAGCCCGAAAGACACAAAAATTCGTCTGTTCGCTGCGTTATACACACCATCTGGCGTATTTCCAGGTGGCAGATAAGAGAATGGTCATTCACTTTTGTAATCTTGAAATAGTGGGGATCGATGCTTCCAGGAAGCAGTCGCGGACGATCGGCGGCTATGTCGGTTTGCGCGTGTGAAGCGATCTTCGCAGCACTAAAAAGTCACAGGTTTTCTTAGATGGGGTCATGATGTGTGCGAATCTGGTACGTCAATACATGAGGCTAACACGATCGCCCGGTTGTTCGACAGGATCTCATTCTTCTCCTGAATTGGGCGATACATATTGAATGATTAGAAAAGCACACCGTGGCACATAATCGTGGTTTGCATTACATAATCTCCCCTGCTTCGTTGAACCCAAGAGTCTTGCGTCTCCTGCAGTTGATGAAAACCGAAATGATCGGCTGACGTCGAGTTTATCAGCCGTGCAGAACAACTGACGAGTGCTTCAACTCATCAAACTACGACGAGTCACTTTGCGGGTGTGTTGTTGGTCTGCACCATCAACTGACGCAACTATCTAGACCTCTGCTTGCTTATCCGCTTCTCAAGTCTGCATTTGCAGATAGTGTTACGTGTCGNTTACTTTACTACGACCAGCCTCTTGGAGAGGATATGCCGGCTCCATGGATGTCTCTGATTGCCGCTGTCCATGTTCGGCGGTTGGCTGCAACATCCTTGCAAATGTTGATCCAGTTGGTTTTCCAATTGCGGGTGCCGTAAACCATCCGAAGGCCAAGGTGGTTGACGTCTTCGAATACAGCCAGGTTTTTACTCACTCTCCCCTTGTCGGCGGCGTCAGGCAGGACAAGGTGACGGAGCCAAGACAATGTTTGTAAGTGTCGGCTGGCCTGCGGAGAACGTGGCCCAGCCATTACAGTCGGAGGAGTTGTATGCGCGTTGAAAGGTGGGCAA